CGCAAGGTCTCAGCCGTCACATGAAAGCGCTGATGGAACTCTTTTGCTGCTTGTGCGTGGGTAGACAAGGCAGCGGCCACCAGCTTTGTAGCCTTGTCCGCTAAGTCATTCCCTAAGGACATGGGACCTGGGAGTCCAGAATGTGCTCGGACATGGGTAATGAAAACAGGAAATCTCCTATTTAACAAGGCAGCTTGTATCTTCTGAAAGATGTTAGCAACTCTGCTGGAGGATCTTATTATTCCAGCTATCTCAAGGAGATTAACTGCATTAACCACATAAGAGGAATCTGATACAATATTGAGGGGTCCTGGAAAAGCCTCAAGAACCTCCAGTACTATCAGACATTCTACAACTTGAGGTGAAGTTTCATTATATTGTTTAGATATAACCCTATCCTTGACCACATAAGCTCCCATACCAGTTTTCGATCCATCAGTGTACACCACAGTCCCATCTGGGAGTGGGTCTTTAGCTGTCACTTGTGGAAACACTATAGCCTGGTTTAGGGCAAACTGTAAAATTGGATGCTTTGGAAAATGATTATCAATTTGTCCTGAAAAGGAAGTAACTAAAACTGCCCAATCACTAGATGTGGCTGCCAAGGTCTGAACTTGTGCAGCAGTATAAGGCACAATCAAGGAATCAGGATCCCTGCCAAAATGCGTAACAGCTGCTTTTATTCCGCGAAGCGCGAGCTGTGCAACAGCATCAGGGTACCAGTCAATAATCTTAGCAGGGGAAGCATTTGGATGAATCCAAAGTAATGGTCCATGTTGCCACAGGACTGCAGTTGGCAATTGAGCTGTCTTAAAAACACACAGATTAAAAGGTAGTGACTCCTCAATACGTTGTAATTGTGCTTCCTGTAAGGCCTCTTCCACCATCTGTAAGGCTCGGTGGGCGGCAGGGGTAAATTTTCTGGGTGAGGAGATATGAGGCTCACCCTCCAGGAGATCGAAGAGGGGTTTTAGATCAGCAGATGGAATTTTTAAAAAGGGCCTCAACCAATTTATATCTCCCAGAAGTTTCTGAAAATCATTTAATGTTTGTAAGTGGTCTTTGCGAATTTCTATTTTCTGAGGAACTATATTTTTGGGAGTAATCATTGAGCCCAAAAAGAGGCCTGTATCTGCAATTTGAACCTTTTCTGAGGCAATCTCTAATCCCCACTGTTTTAATTCAGCCACCAGCATGGGAAAAGCCTTTTGTAAAACATCTAACTCTTTGTGACAAATAAGAATATCGTCCATATAATGGATCATGATTAAAGATGTAAATTGCTTCCTAATTGGCTCCAAAGCCTCCTGCACATACAGCTGACATATTGTTGGGCTATTGGCCATGCCTTGCGGCAGTACCTTCCACTGAAATCTCTTGTCTGGTTCCATATGATTAAGAGAAGGGATAGTGAAGGCAAACCTTGGTCTATCCCGTGGGTAAAGTGGAATAGAGAAGAAACAATCCTTAATATCTATAATAATAAGCTTCCAATCTTGAGGAAGTGCAGAAAGCAAAGGAAGTCCTCTTTGAACAGGGCCAAAAAGATGCATCTGATTGTTAATGGCCCGCAGGTCGTGGAGTAATCTCCACTTCCCAGATTTCTTCTTAATAACAAAAATTGGTGTATTCCATGGGGAGGTAGAAGGCTCTAGATGCCCCAGCCGTTCCTGTTCTTGCACTAATCTTGTGACAGCCTCTAATTTTTCAGAGGATAGAGGCCATTGAGAGACCCATAACGGCTCCTCTGTTTTCCACGGTATGGGTCGTGAAGCCTCAACGGCCCCTAAATAAAACCCAGTCCTTTTCTACCCCGATTTCCATGTTGCGTAATGGGTTTTATTCTGCCTTGTTCTTGCCTACCCAAGCCTCTACCCTTTGTATACCCCATCTTTGCCATAATGGCTGATGCCTGGGGGAGTATTCATTAGTTAGGGTCATGCCCATGGTTTGTAACACATCCCGTCCCCATAAATTTACAGGGAGTGGCAACACATAGGGGGTAAAACATCCCTGTTTGCCCTCAGCGTTCCGCCAGGTTAAGGCTGAGGCACTGATGGCAGGAGAGGACTGGTATCCAAGACCTTGTAGAGAATGAGATGAAACAACAGTGGGCCAAGACTTCGGCCACCAATGGAGTGAAATAATGCTTTTGTCTGCTCCCGTATCCATTATCCCTTCAAATTCTTTTCCATTAATTAACAATTTTATTGTAGGTCTCTCATTTAGGGGTATAGCCAGATAGGCTGAATCACTTCCAGAAGATCCCATAGCCCTTTTTTGTAAAGTGTAGGTTTCTCCATCCCCGAGGGAGGGCAGCAACACCAGTTGTGCAATTCTATCTCCCTGCTTTATAGAAAATACACCCCGAGGGCTAGAACAGAGAACTTGAATCTCCTCTTTATGATACGGGTCAACAATCCCAGGATATATAATGAGTCCCTGTAAAGTTAAGGAGCCACGGCCCAGAATAAGCCCAATGGTGGCAGGGGGCAAAGGTCCAGGGGAATGGACTGGGACCGGTTGAACATTCATTTGGGGCATGAGTAAGAAGTCGGAGGCGGCACGCAAGTCCATTCCGGGGGTTCCTCGGAAGCCTCTACTTCCTCTTGATTGCTTTTCTGAAATCGGTTCCCATATTTCTGAGGGCCCTGGGACCATGGGCCCCGTGACCCGTTTTTTGATTGGGGTACCTTGGGTTCTTCAATAGGGGGCAGAAGCCTCCCTTTCATATCCCGGACTGACCTGCATTCACTAGCCCTATGATAACCTTTACCACAACGATGGCAAAGCTCCAGTTCTCTTGTTCTTTCAGGGGATTGACAATCTTTCTTAAGGTGCCCCATTTTCCCACAATTAAAACAAGCTTTTCGACTAGATAAATCTCTACGCCTGTGCGTTTGTAAAATGGCGGCAGCTAGTCCTGCATTGGTTAGGGGTCCCCCCAGCTCCCTGCACACTCTGAGCCAATCTTGTAAACCTTTGCTTTTGCGAGGGCGATAGCCGCTCGACATTCCTGGGTTGCTTGTTCATAGACAAGTTGCTCAATCAGGGGCATAGCTTGTTCTGAATCACCAAAGATGCGACCGGCGGCCTCGGTCATTCTGGCCACAAAGTCTGAAAATGGCTCTTGGGGTCCTTGGACAATCTTTGTAAGGTGTCCACTGGATTCTCCCCTTTTTGTGAGGGCCTTCCATGCTTTAATAGCGGCGGCCGACACCTGACCATAGACGCCCCAGATGTAGTTGGTTTGATTAAGGGCATGTTGACCCTGACCTGTCAGCATTTCAAATGTCCACTGCCTCTGATTCTCATCTTCAGCTGTGGCATTAACTCTAGCTTGCGCCTGGGATGCATCATACCAGAGAGCCTTCCATTCCATGTATTGTCCCATGTTGGGAAGCACTGCTTTCACTGTCGTCTGCCAGTCAGTGGGAGTCATGGCAAAATTAGCAAGCCTTTCCACCTGTATTGTGGTAAAGTTAGCATTGACCCCATAATTACGAACGGATTCGGCCAATTCTTTGATTTGATTGTAATCTACGGGGGTATGTACTCTTCCACCTTCTGCATTCTCGAATACTGGAAAAGCCATTTGTATTTTTCTCCGTTCCTCTAAAGGTAAAAAGGAGTCAGTACCAGTATTCAGCCGAAGCTCATACTGCGGAGGCGCCGAGGGGCGTGAGCCCGCCGGATTTATAGGCGGTGGCCTCACATTCATTTTGTTTTCAGCGGCCGGTGTCTATCAGGGTGATATCTTTCTTCCTCATACCGTGCCACCTCCTCCTCTAGACCACCTTCTTCGCTAGAATCCAGAGTGTCAGAATCGGAATTATCTAGCTCCAAGGCTTCTAGCTCTACCGTAGGGTATAGGCTAGATTCTGGCTTTTTCTTTTTCTTAGATTTGTTAGGGGGTGAATGATCACTCCCTTCTTTCTCTCCCCCTTTCTTAACTTCTTGGGGAGGGCCTTTTTTCTTAGACATGTCTTTCCTTTTGCGAGCTCCCATTCTCTCACTCCGTTCAGTTTCTGACATGCTATCCTGAACTTCCTCTAAGGTTCCCTGACTTTCTACTATAGCAGGGTGACAGGCCTCATCCTCCAAGCAGTTTTTAACTAGCTTCCAAATGGCTTTGGTACCTAAGCGGAGATCTCCTTCTGCATGCTTCCTGTCTAGTTCTTTACCTAGCTTGTTCCATGAGGCCACAGTGAGGGACCCGGAACAAGCATACCATGGTGCCACTCTATCTACCTCCTTCACAAAATTTTGAAGTGTTCGTGGTGCAATTTTGAGATCTCTTTGTTTTAGCACAGTCTGTAGGGCAGTAACCACTGACTGTGACAACCCCATCGCGCTGGCGGCTTATCTAAAAAACGGCGCTCGACTCCTTTACCAGACTGACAGCACCGTTCTGTCAGCACCAGCCACGATGAAGAAGAAGGACAAACAGGACTAGCACCAAAGCCTCCACTGACCCGTCCCACGGTGATGACAAACTAAGGCCAAAGTCGAGAAAAGGGGTGTTCAGGATAAAGCATACCTCTCTGAACTTACGTCCCTGCAGTTCTGAATCCGCCCCGTCTTCCGAGGGGTCTCCCGCGGCGCCGGCGATGTTGAAGAGTTCCCGGGTTTCGGCACCAGATGTCCCGCGCTACCGTCTCGCCAGCAAGAACGACGCAGGACACTCGGATCCTTCTGCAGTAAAGCTTTAATACATCTTGAGAGATAGATGATCAGCTTCTGAAAGGGAGACCCCAAGCTAAGAAACCCAGCCCCTTATATAAGCCTAGGAGCTCCGAGTGAGACGTGTAGAGCCGGGATTGGTGGTTTGCTCATCACCCCAGATGACGGGTGAGGCACAGCTTAAACGGTAAACTCCAACTGACAGCAGATGTCAGCGCCATCTTCTAATGGCGATAGCGATAGCGAGGGCGGCTCCTCACAGGCGTGTGCCACCAAACCTGGCTTGTTGCCTTCCTTCAGTAAAGTCCAAAGCCATTTGGAACTAGGATCTGATGAGTTTTGTTCTCTTCTTTCCTAGCCGGGCCCCTCAGATGAGGGCTGCTCCGAGACATGCGCCTGCAGCTCATCCTCCAGCAGCAGCAGCCGCACCATCCGCAGTTGGCTCCCCTGCTGCTGCACCCAGGCAGCCAGGCCTGATGGCCCAGATGGCAACCACTGCAGCTGGTGTGGCCGTGGGCTCTGCAGTGGGTCACACCCTGGGTCACGCCATCACTGGGGGCTTCGGTGGAGGAGGCAGTGCCGAGCCTGCAAGGCCTGACATCACTTACCAGGTAAGACTTGGGGCAGCTCTTCCTTTCTGTGTTAACACTGGGCAGCTGCTAAGAACTTGCATGTTTACTTTTAGGATCCACGGTTATAAGTACAAAGTGGTGTGCCTCCCCCTCCCTTTTGCTAAGTGGGGGCTGCTGGGGGTATGGCTCAGTGAATAAGCACTTACTCTGAAGCCATGCATACCCGAGATCAAAACCCATGTGTGAACCACAAAAGGTCAGGCGTAGCCATACATCCCTGTAACTCCTGCATTGTGGAGGGAGACGAGCAGATCCCTCAGCTTGGCTGGCTGGCGGTTGGGATGAAATGACCGTTTCAGTGAGAGGCCCTGTCTCAAGGCAACAGGATGGAGAGTGGTAGAGGAAAGACACCCCATGTCTTGGTTGGCCTCCCCTTGGGCACACACACCCACACACACTCGTGTTTGAGCATCACACAGAAAAGCCGCATGGCATGACTTGAGTTTAACCTTTAGACAAGCATCAATAAATAGAACAGACTGGAATCATGACAGTCCAGCCCAGCTTCTGTAAAATGGCCATTTTCCCTGTTAGATGATTTTTGTTTTGGAGAGGATCTCACTGAAGATAGCCCTGAACTCATGGTCATCCTCCTGCCTTGGTCAGACACCTGCCTGCCCCTGCCTCCTTAAGTGCTGGGATTAAAGGTGTGCACTACCTCCATTGGCCTCTAGCAAGATTTAAATTGTTTTGATTTTATATTTACAATGTTAGGAACAAGCCCAGAGCCTGTGTATACTAACCACAGACTTAATAGAATCACTCTTCCATTCGAACTTCAGATGACCTGATTTGCCATGTGTTTGTTTTTTGGTTTGAGTTGGAGAGGGTATCTTTGTTCTTTAACCTTAATATTTGTCTTGCTTTCTGCCTTGAAATGGTTTACTACCATGCTACTGGATGGAAAACTACATTTGCACCTTTTTCTAGTTGTTTCCCCAGCTGAGTCTGTGACTGCCACTCCTGTGTACACCCACACTTTCTCCGGAGTACCTAATGTTGTGTCTCCACAGGAGCCCCAGGGAGCCCAGCTGCTGGAGCAGCAGTCTCGTGGGCCTTGCTCTCTTGAGATCAAACAGTTTCTGGAGTGTGCTCAGGACCAGGGTGAAGTTCAACTGTGGGAGGGCTTCAAGGAGGTGTTGCGACAGTGCACAATTGCAAATGGTAGGTGACCTGTCCATCTGCTCACAGTGACAGTCCTGAACCCTCTAGGGTGGCCACTCTCAAAGTGGGAGTTGTTGTGACCCCTCTGGGGTGGCAAGACTCTTTCACTATGGTTATCTAGGGTCATTGGAAAACACAGATTTGTGATCATCTTAGGGACTGAGACCCTGCTCTGCCATGGTCTCTGGGCAGGTCTGCCTACACACAAATAAGCCCACATAGGCATAACCAGTGTGATGATATCATTGTGCCAACCCCATCACATATATCCTGTACAAATGTAGGTGTATGTGACACGGTTAGTGCCAAAACACAGTTATGCAGGCCAGTCACGTGTGTGCAGGGAGCAGTTGCTGTGTTGCAAGCAGCAGTATTGGAAGTAAAATGATACTTCAGGAATTGTAATTACTAGGTAAATGTAAAACCATAAACTGTAAAGTTATCAACTACTATAGAAAAAAATCTGTATTATGGGAACTTAATCTGGATGCTGCTTGTGGTTTTGGGGTTTTTGTTTTATTTGGTTTGGTTTTTTGTTTGTTTGGTTTTTCAAGACAGGGTTTCTACAATTATCCCTGGCTATTCTGGAACTCACTCTGTAGACCAGGCTGGTCTAGAGCTCACAGAGATCCACCTATCTCTGCCTCCCAAGTGCTGAGATTAAAAGCATGTGTTACCACCACCACCACCACCACCACCACTTGGTGCCAGTGGGTTTTTAATGTTCAGTGGTGGGTGATGGGAATACTTCCCCCTTGTAATAGTAACAGGTATGTTAAAAAAAAGAAACAAACAAATAAACAAAAACCTCACAGAGAATGGTAAATCATAGGAAACTTTACTTTGTTGACTGAACTATGCCATGTATCATCTTTGGTGGATTTTTTGTTTTGTTTTGGAGACAGGGTTTCTCTGTATTATTTTAGAGGCTGTCCTGGAACTCGCTCTTGTAGACCAGGCTGGCCTCGAACTCACAGAGATCTACCTGCCTCCGCCTCCCGAGTGCTGGGATTAAAGGCACGCGCCACCAACGCCCGGCTCACCTTTGGTGTTATTAAAGCTATTGTTGTGTATTATTTTCATCAGAGGGCCATCCCCTAAGAATGGATCGTGTAGAGAAAAAGGTTAAGAAAAGAAGATACAATGAAGATTTCTTACAGTATGGTTTTACCTCAAAAATTACAGCAGAAATTGAGAAACCGCAGTGTGTCATTTGTGGTGACGTTCTATCAGCAGAATCTATGAAGCCAAACAAACTAAAGCGCCATTTTGATAGCAAGCACCTGAGCTTTGCGGGCAAGGATATCAGCTATTTTAGAAGCAAAGCTGATGAACTCAAGAAAGGCAGACTTGACACTGGCATCAAGTCTCCCAAACAGAATGTAGTGGCTGTTGAAGTTTCATATTTGGTGGCACTCAGAATCGCCAGGACTATGAAGCCTCACACCTTTGCTGAGGATTTACTGTTGCCGGCAGCCAAAGACAGTGTGGGAGTTATGATCGGAGATGAATTTGTTACACAGTTGAGTGCAGTTTCCTTATCTAACGACACTGTTCGCAGAAGAATAGATGACATGTCTGCTGACATTCTTGATCAGGTAATCCAGGAAATTAAATCTGCTCCACTTCCAATATTTAGTATCCAGCTGGATGAATCCACAGACGTTGCGAACTGTTCTCAGTTACTGATGTACGTGAGGTATATCAATGGTGGCGACTTTAAAGATGAGTTTCTCTTTTGCAAACCTCTTGACACAGCAACCACTGCACACGATGTATTTGAAAGAGTTGGTTCATTTCTGAAGGAGCACAAGCTTTCTTGGGAAATGGTTTGTGGTGTTTGCACAGATGGCGCTCGGGCTATGCTAGGATGCCAGTCTGGATTTCAGCATTTGGTATTGAACGAGTCCCCGAAAGTCATCGGAACTCACTGTATGATTCATCTGCAAACATTAGCAATGAAGACACTGCCACAAGACTTAAAAGAAGTCATGCAGAGCGTCGTAAGCTCTGTCAATTTCGTAAAGTTGAACACTTTAAGCAGTCAACTGTTTTCACAGCTGTGTGATGATTTGGACGCTCCGAACAAAGCTCTGCTCTTCCATACTGAGGGGAGGTGGCTGTCCAGTGGATCAGTTTTAAAACGTGTTTTTGAGCTTCGTGGTGAATTCAAAATGTTTTTTAGTCAGAAAGGAAGACCGCAGTTGGAGGCACTTTTCAGTGATGAAAGTGAATTGCAGAAAATGGCTTATTTGGTGGACATCTTTGCCATCTTACATGAGTTAAATTTATCACTGCAAGAGCCAAATGCGACATGCCTCGATTTGTCTGAAAAGATCCAGTCATTCCAAATGAAACTTGAGCTTTGGCAAAAAAACTTGGGTGAAAATAAAATACACATGTTGCCTACCTTATCTGCTTTCTTTGAGGGACATGACATTAAACCCTCCAAAAGGATTACAGTGATAATTTCTGTGAAAGAACACTTGCACATGCTTACACAAGAAATTTCATGGTACTTTCCAAACCTACCTGACGTCCCATTTGCCCTTGCCAGAAGCCCATTCACAGTCCATGTGGAAGATGTCCCTGAGCCAGCGCAAGAGGAGTTCATTGAGCTTGTTAACAGCGATGCAGCGAGGACTGACTTCTCTACACTGCCAGTTACCCGATTCTGGGTCAAGTGTTTGCAGTCATACCCCGTTCTGTCTGAGTTTGTGCTGCGCCTCCTCCTTCCATTTCCAACAACACATCTTTGTGGAAAAGGCTTTTCCAGCTTGTTGGTTATCAAGTCTAAATACAGACGCAGGCTCGCTGTGGAAAATGATCTTCGTTGTGCTCTAGCAAAGACTACCCCGAGAATTTCTGATCTGGTGAGGAAGAAGCAGTCTCAACCTTCACACTGACATTGGCTTTTTACAGATACTGTGTGTGCAAAATGTAGCAAGTTCTTGTGGGTTTTGTTTGGGTTTTGTTTTGCTTTTTGGATTTTGTTGTTGTTATTTGAGACAGGGTTTGACTATGTAGCCCTAGCTGTCCTGAAACTTGCATTGTAGACCATGTTGGCCTCGACCTCATAGAGATTCACCTGTCTCTACCTCCCAAGTGCTGGTATTAAAGACCTTCACTGCCAGCCTGGCATTGGTGGCGCACGCCTTTATTCCAAGGACTCCGGAGGCAGAGGCAGGCGGATCTCTGTGAGTTCCAGGACAGCCTCCCAAACAATACAGAGAAACCCTGTCTCGGAAAACCAAAAAAAAAAAAAAATACCTTTGCTGCCACTACCCAGCTACTGTTATCATATTAAGACTGTTACCCATGCTACACCATGTTTCAAGACAAATTATTTATTTGTAATTAGAAATAAATATTTCACAATATATACGTATCATTTTTTGGGATTAATCACTGTGCTTTAATGATGTTCAGCTTGAAACAATGAAAATACATCCTACATATCAGATGTTTACATTAATAGTTCATTATAGAAGCCGGGCGTTGGTGGTGCATGCCTTTAATCCCAGCACTTGGGAGGCAGAGGCAGGTGGATCTCTGTGAGTTCGAGGCCAGCCTGGTCTACAAGAGCTAGCTCCAGGACAGCCTCCAAAGCCACAGAGAAACTCTGTCTCGAAAAACCAAAAAAAAAAAAAAGTTCATTATAGTTACGAAATAGTAACAAATTAATTTTTTATAACTTACTTATTATTTTATATGCATTGGTGTTTTGCCTGCATGTATGTCTGTGTGTCAGATCTTGGAGTTACAGACAGGTGTGAGCTTCCATGTGGGTGCTGGGAATTGAACCTCAGTCCTCTGGAAGAGCAGCCAGTGCTCTTAACTGCTGAGCCATTCCTTCAGCCCCACAAATTAATTTTATGGTTGGCAGTCACCACAACATGAACTGTGTTAAAGGGTCACAGCATTAGGAACGTTGAGAAGATCTGATTCCTCTTCTGACCATCCCCAGGCACCAGCATGCATGTGGTCCAGATATACACACGCAGGCAAAACACTGACACACACAAATAACTAAATCTTATTGATTAAGATTAAATTTAAATTAAAAAATGCCCTACAGACTTTCCTACAGGCAATTTGATAGAAGTAGTTTCACAATTGTGTTTCCTCTTCCCAGATAATTCTAGTTTGTGTAGCCAAAAAGTAGCCAGTAGCTGGGCGGTGGTGGCGCACTCCTTTAATCCCAGCACTCAGGAGGTAGAGGCAGGTGGATCTCTGTGAGTTCGAGACCAGCCTGGTCTACAGAGTGAGTTCCAGGACAGCTTCCAAAGCCACAGAGAAACTGTCTCAAAAAACCAAAGATAAATAAGTAAATAAATAAATAAATAAAAAAGTAGCCAGCATATCATATTGATTATTTCTTGCATTGGGAGAGACCTTGTGTAAGTTATATCCCACTAGGAGATGTAACCACACTATTATTTAATAGCTGACTTTTAATTTTTTTTATTAATTTATTTGGGCCAGGTGTGGCATTCCACAACTTTAATCCCAGCACTTAGGGGGCAGATGGGCTTCTGTGAGTTCAAGGCTGGCCAGAGCCATATGGTGAGTGAGACCCTGTCTAGATAGAAACTGTATTGGTTACTTGTATGTTGCTGTGATAAAACACTATGATCAAGGCAACCTATAGAAGTTTACTTGGGCGTATGGTTCCAGACGGTTAACTCCTTCATGACCTGGAAGCCGTAGGCATAGTGAGTGGCTGGAGCAGGACAGCAAGAGCTCACACCCTTTACTGTAAGCAGGAGCAGCGTTGGCAAACTGGGAAATGACACAATTCAAGCTCACTGTCAGTGCTAGATATGATGACGAATGCTTTACAGAGTTCCAGAGCTACATAGTGAGACCCTGTCTCAAACAAGATAATTTTTATAAAACCACTTCTATTCCAGTTGGTGGTAGTTCATGCCTTTAATCCCAGCACATGGGAATCAGAGGTAGGCAGATCTAGAGGCCAGCCTGGTCTAGAGAGAGAGTTGCAGGACAGCCAAGGCTACCCAGAGAGATCCTATCTTAAAAAAAAAAAGCCACTTCTAGTGATACAATTTCTCCAACAAGGCCACACCTCCTAAACCTCTTCAAGCATTGTTGCCAACTATTCACATACATGAGCCTGTGCGGGAAAATCACATTCAAATCAAACTATCGCGCATAGTAAATGAGTGAGTGGTAGTGTATGTGAGTGTATGTGGGTCCATCTGTCCATCCTGCCACATTGTGGGACCTGAGGACAGAACACTGGTCGTCAGATCTGTGTAGCTAGCTAGCCCCCTTGAACCGCTATTTTTAGTTTTGTTCTTGCCTGGTTCTATATGTGTGTTTAAGCACATCCATGCTCTTTATTAAAAGAGTATTTTTTAGATTTATTTATTTATTTATTACATATATGCTGCTCTGCCTCCATGCCAGAAGAGAGCACCAGATTGAATTGTAGATGGTTGTGAGCCACCATGTGGTTGCTGGGAATTGAACTCAGGACCCGTGGAAGAGCAGTCAGTGCTCACCTGCATGCTCTTATACCCCATTCATTCACATATTCGGTGACGGAGGATGTTGAGTGTTTTCCTCTATTACTCTTTGTATTCTCTTGGTCTCTCACTTAACCTGCCCGTTTTGACTAGGCTGCCTGGCCAGCAAGCCCCAGTGAATCTCTTGTGCCTGTCTCTCTTGGTCCCTCTACAGGGATGAGGGGAAAGGTCTATGCAGCCACACCTGGCATTTTATGTGCATGCTGGGAACTCAAACTCAAGTCCCTATGCTTGAGCAATGAATGCTCTTACCCACTGAGCCATCTCCCCAGATCTATTATTTCTTCAAAGATAGGTAGCCAAGGATGACCTTGAACTCCCCATTCTCTTGCCCTCTGCTTCCTAAATTCTGGGATTACAGATATGTGTTACTGGGTGTTTTAGACAGTCTACCTATGTAGTAGCCCTGGATGTCATGGACCTTGCAGATCCTCATGCTTTGGCCTTAATTTAACTTTTGTTTTGTTTTGCGACAGGGTTTCACTGTATAGCTCTGGCTTTCATAGTACTCACTCTGTAGACCAGGCTGGCTTTGAACTCAACAGCAGTCCACCTGCCTCTCCTTTCTGAGTGCTAGGATTAAAGCCGTGTAACACCACCACCAGTCTCTCTAACCCTTTGTCCATGTTTTTACTTTAACTCTCTCAGCTGCCCACTTGAGAGCTGGGATTACAGCCACTCACAGTCTAATCAATTTATCATTTTTTGGAGATGTGGTCTTGTTGCTAGATTTTTCTTGTCTCGCCTGGTCCCTTTTACTCCTTCCCCTGCTACATGGCGACCCTTTCCAGTGCTTCTCTGCCTACCTTTCCCAGAATTCTCCTTGTCTCCTAGTTCCGCCTATCTTCCTGTCTCATTTTCCAAACAGTGTTTTATTCATCAACCAGTAAGCGAAACATATACAGAAGGTTTCATTATGTAGCCCTTGCTGGCCTAGAGCTCACTATGTAAACAAAGCAGGCCTTGAACTCACAGAGACCTGGCTGTCCTTGCTTCTACTTCCTGGGTGCTGGTACTACAGTTGTATCCCAGTAAGCTTGACTTGTTTTCATTGACCTGAGGACTAGCAAAGTGGGTTTGAGACCCTGGGATTAATCCCCCAAATGCTTGTATTAAGTCCAATGCCCGAATTTCTTTAAGGATGGTGTCTACTAATGGTTGCTTTTCTTTAAAATGACTATATTGCAGCCATTCAGATAGTTCATCAGGTAAAGGTACTTGCTACCAAGTCTGATAATTTGAGTTCAACCCACATCGTCCACAGGTTGGGGAGGAGAGAACAGACGTCCAAAAATTGGCCTCTGACATCCACATGTAGTACACACACACACAATTTTAAAATTTAGATGCATTTATTATTTGTGCAAATGAATGTTTTGCCTGTATGTATGGGTGCCCAAGGAGGCCAAAAGAGGGCTTCAGTTCCCCTGGGACTGCAGTTACAGACAGTTGTGAGTTACCACGTGAGTGCTGGGAATGGAACCTGGGGCTTCTGGAAGAGCAGTCTTAACCACTGAGAACTCGTTCCTGTCCATCGGTCCTAAGAGACTACTTAGGATGGTCAGTCAGGATGTCTTAGGATGTCTTCTCAATTTATGAGGCATGCTTTTGGGTGTGTCCATTGAGGGAGTTTCCAGAGACTGCAGATTGAGGAGGGACAACCCACCCTGAGGTAGGGCAGCACCATCCAGTGGAGTGGTCTGGAGACCTGAATAAAAATGGAGGCGGGAGTGGGGGTGGGGTGGGGGCGGGAAGGCAAGCAAGACGCTTGAATTTCCCCATTCTTGCTTCCTGACTGACCAATGTAAATACGAACAAGTTGCTTCATGATCCTGCCCACCGTGCCTTCCCATCTGATTGTATGTATTCTCAAACTCTGAGCCAAAATACACTCTTCTAAACCGATTCTTGCCAAGTATTTGGTTATAGCAATGAAAAAGTAGTGTTGAAAAGAATCATCATGTCACACAAAGAAACCACACGAGCAAAGTGAAAATAATTCCGTAAACTTATTTCCTTTCGCAAAAATGAACCCAAACTGGGCTAGCCAATACATTCGGTCAAAAGGGTCTGCGTCTCTTATCCCTGTGCTGGGATTACAGGTGTGCACAACCACACCGGATTTATACAGTGCTGGGGGTGGAACCCAGGGCTTCGTGCACGCTAGGTGAGCACTCACCCACTGAGTCACATTCACTTGTTCCGTCCCTTCAGGTTTTTGACCAACGGAACCAGAAGGTTTATAGGTGTTAACAATGCCGCCCCACAGGAACATTTCATAATAATTCCCAAATTGGAACAAAGAAGCCTTGCCTAGAAGCCACGCCCCTCTGTGAGGTCACAGAGGGTGCGCCCCTACAGCGGAGCCAATAGCGGGACCTTTCGGCCGGAGCAGCCTGCGGCGGCGGCGGCGGGCGGAGGGCAGCGGCGCGATGGACCTGCCAGCTCGTCCTTCCGTCTCCCGCCCACGGACTCGAGCCCGCCCGCCGCCGCCGGAGACGCTGCCCACTGCGGGCTTCGATGACGAGCTGTACGACAGCCTGGACTACTACTACCTGCGTGACTTCCCGGCTTCCGGAGCTGGCCGCAGCAAGGGCCGGACGCGGCGCGAGCAGCAGCTGCGCACCAACCGCCAGGTGCCAGGCGGCCACGAGCGCAAGGTGGCGCAGATACTGATCAACGCGCAACGCAAGCGCCGCCAGCGCCAGCTGCAACCGCGGCCGCGCACGCGCCTCTCCTGAGCGGGTACGGGCAGGCAGAGCCCGTTGGCGGTGGGCAGGGAATAGAATAGCTCATATCTCAGTCTGGTCTCGAACTCACTGTGTAGAGGAGGATTAACTTGACCTCCAGATCGTCCTGTCTCCAGCGTCCAAGAGCTAGAATGTTAAGACATGTGCCACAATGCCTAGCTTTCTGCCTTCCTTCCTGTTTTTATTTTTATTATTATTATTTTTTTTTTGAGGCAGAGTTTCTCTGTTTAGCCTTGGCTGCCCTGGAACTCATTCTGTAGACCAAGCTGACCTCGAACTCACGGAGATCTGCCCGACTCTCCCTAGTGCTGGGATTAAAGTCATGTGCCACCACTGCCCGACCTTTTTTATTTTTTGACACGGTCTCATATAGCCTAAACTGGTCTGGAACTCCTCATCCTCCCGTGTTCACCTCCAAATACTGAAATGTCAGGCGTGGGCCATGATCCCATGAGGTATTGTTTTGTTTTATCGATAAGGCCCAGTGCGGCCCAGGGTGGCGTGGTATTTGTGGCAACCCTCAACCTCTCTAGCCTTGAGACTACAGGTCTGTGCCGCCATGCTCACCTCTCACACCCTCCTAAGACTTCCCAGCTTTAGTTGTAACTGGACTCACCTGCTCCCAGGGGTTTCCTGGCTGCTAGTGAAAGTACGCTTTGGAAGTTTGCAATTAGGTGAGAAAGGCCTAGGTCAGAAATGCCAGGATATGTCTCAAGACAAACATCCTGGCGGGGCAGCTTACACCTGTCATCCATCTCAGTGCTCCAGAGACTGAGACTGGTGTCGTACTACTTGAGTCTGAGGCCAGCCGTGGGTACAGGGTGAGGCCCTGTCTCAAAGCAAAACAGTCTCTCCTTGTTTGCTTTCTGTTGCTGTGATGAATACCATGACCAAAAGCGACTGGGCAGGAAAGGGTTATTTCATTGTAAAGCTTACAGTCCATCATGAAGGACGTCAGGGCAGGAGCCCAGAGACAGGAGCTGAAGCATGGTCCACAGAGGTTCACTTGCCTTTCTTATACCTCCTGGGACCTCCTGCCCTACCCCAGGTGATTCTGCCCACAGTGGGCTGGGCTGTCCCACATCAGTCATTGAGAAAATGTCCCCACAGACTTGTCTGCAGGCTGATCTGATACCTCTGTCGTCCCAAATGACCCTGGTAGGTGTCAAGTTGACAAAACACAAGACAAAAACTAGGTATGGTGGAGCACACCTGTACGCCTCTCAGGAAAGTGAAGAGGGAGTCAGAAGTTCAGGGTCGGGTCTGGAGACGGCTCAGCAGTTAAAGCACTTACTGCCCTTGCGGAGGACCCAGTTACCTCAGGTGCCACATAACCATCTGTAGCTCCAATGTGAGGGGATCCAAACCCTCTTCTGGCCTCCGTGGACACTGCATGCGTGTCATACGCAGACATATATTTAGGCAAACAGACATTTTTTTGAATGAAAAAGATAAAAAGCTCAAGATCATTGGCTACATAGTCAGTTTGAGGCCAGCCTGAGCTACGTGAGACAGAGAAGGGAAGGTGAGAATGAGCTCATTTGATGGTATTCACTTATCCTGCATAACGCTTCAGGGTCAGTCCCCAGCGCTGTCTACATGGGACCCATGGCAATAATCTTAGGAGGAGCAAACATTTACGGTTATCCTTGGTTACATAGTTTGAGGCCAGCCTCGACTACTTGAGACCCTGTCTAAACGAAAATGACAAAAACAACCCACTCAAGGCTCTGACCTGTGACCCTTGCATTCAGGAAGCAGAAGCAGTAGGATAATGAGTTGGAGTCCAGCCTGGTCTTTATTGTGAGTTTCAGGTCACCACGGGCTAGAGTAGCACCTTATCTCAACGGGGAGAACTAATAACTTCCAGTGTTCTTGTAAGGCTTGGGAGGGTAATTGATTCTTGTTTTTTTCTTATTTTCTGCAGGAAACCTGAAAGACCTGTTAAAAGTATTTTCAACTGTAACTGAGTTCCTCCATGTTGGTCAACAAGTCTTTTTTTGACAGTTTTTACGTTTACTGCTTCAATCTTTTCCTCACTAATTAGCTATTAAGTAAGTAGTTTCCAGTGGGTATGCCTTTTTAGGGTTTTCAATTAAAAGAGAACAGTAAGAATGCAATTTAACTCTTCTGGGTTTTTCTCCCTCCCCACCCCCCCACCCCAAGTTATCATGGTGATAACTGGTTTCCAGTTTGAAAGTACTTGGGCTCTGAATTGTAAAGAGGAGATCACAGGGCTGGGGAGATTAACTTATGTGCTAAAGTGATTGCAACAAAAGTCTGAGGACCTGAGTTTGATCTTTAAAAGCCATGTTTTTGAAAGGCTGGTGTAGTGGCCCACACTTAGAATCCTAGCATTTGGGAGGTAGAGACAGATTTCCGGGGCTCCCTGGCCAGCTAGCGTAACGTACCTTCTGTGTTCCAGGTCAATGAGCAGCACTGCCTTAAAAAAAAAGATGATTGTGTCCTGAAGAACCATACCTGCCATTGGATAATTGCCTCTACATGTTCATACTCACACTTACATTTGCACACATGCACACACCTGCACGTACAGATGCACCACACACAGTGAACTGGGAAGAACCAAGATAGGATATTTTATAAGAAAGAATTCTACCCATATGTCATCTCTGAAAGTTTGGTTTTGGTTTTGGGGGTGGCATTTTGGGAAGTGACTGATTCAGGGTCTATGTGGCCTTGGCCGTCCTGGAACTTGCAATGTAAGCCTTGGCCAGGAACTCACAACTTCTGCCTGTCTTGGCCTCCTGAGTGCTGAGATTAAATATATGCATCACTACTTCAGGATGAAAGTTCTTGTTTGTTTGTTTGTTTGTTTTCAAGACAGGGTTTCCCTGTGTAGTTCTGGCTGTTCTGGAACTCCCTCTGAAGACCAGGCTGGCCTTGAACTCAAAGATCTGCCTGCCTTTGCCTCCAGAGTGCTGGGATCAAAGGTGTACAGCACCACCAGGTGCATTACAGTAAGATATTGTGGGGACTGGAGATATAGCTCAGTTGACAATGTTTACTTAGCTTGCCTGAAGCCATGGATTCAAGCCATAGAGCCTGCATTAAGTGGGTAGCACATGCTGTAATCCCAGCACTTGGGAGTTACATGTCTTAAGTTTGAGGCCATTCTTTGAGTTCAGGACCAGCCTGGAGTTTGTGAGACCCTGTGCCAACAATAACAATAGGCCGTATTCAACAGTTGCTGAGTTCTAGTCACTTGTCTCACAGCAACTCTTTGATATGAGTGCTGTAGCCCCCATTTTAGAAAAGAGATCCTAATAATGTCCTAGTTAGCTTAAAAAAAATTGTATGTAGGAGCTGGAGAAATGGCTGAGAGGCTGCTCTTCCAGAGGACCTGAGTTCAATTCCCAACAAGCACATGGTGGCTCACAACCATCTATAATGAGGTCTAGTGCCCTCTTCTGGCCTGCAGGCAGAACACTGTATGCATAATGCATATATACATACACACATCTTTTAAAAAAATTATGTTTATGTATATGTCATATGCATTCTGGTAACCCCAGAGGCCGGAAGAGAGTGTTGGATCCCCTGAAGCTGCAATTAGTATAGGCAGTCCTAAACTAGAATTAGAATAGGCAGTCGTAAGCCACCTGCTGTGGGTGCTAGAAAACAAAGGTGGGTTATCTGGAAACACAGTACACACTTAGCCACTGTGCTCCAGTCCCCTAGTTAGATTTAACTCTCAACTTGGTACAGCCCAGAGTCACCTAAGAAGGAAAACCTCAGTTGAGCAATTCCCTAGATAAGATTGTCATTTGAAAAACCAATAAATACAAAACAATACAGGGAAACCCTGTCTTGTAAAACCAAAAAAAAAAAAAAAAAAAAGAAAGAAAAGAAAGAAAGAAAGAAAAATCAATAAATAAATAACAGATTGTCACACCGTAGCACTTGTATGGGTTTTTGTTTAACTGGTGGATAAAGACAGGTGTAAAAATAAATCCTCCTGGCCGGGCGATGGTGGCACACGCCTTTAATCACAGCACTCGGGAGGCAGAGGCAGGCGGATCTCTGTGAGTTCAAGGCCAGGCTGGACCGACAGCCTCCAAAACAATACAGAGAAACCCTGTCTCGTAAAAACCAAAAAATAAAATAAAATAAATCCTCCTTTGCAATCCAGAACTCATTGTTGAGTTTTGATATGTGTAAGAAGGAATATCACACAAAAAAAGGGTTGTCACACTGACAAGGCAGTGGGGGGGGGTTGCTTGATAACTGAGTAGGAAGATCCCTGCCCACTGTGGGCAATACCATCCCCTTGGAAGGTGGCATTGGACTGTATAAACTAGTTGAACCTGTTTTGGTGTCTTTAATCTCAGTTCTCTAGAGGCAGAGGCAGGCAGATTTCTCTTGAGTTCAAGGCTAGGCTGGTCTACATAGTGAATTCCAGGCCAGCCAAGGAACATGTACCCATGAACAGAGTTTGTGAGCAAAAAAACATGAAATGGGACAGTCACCTTGTTCTACAGTAATTCTATTAAAAGCATATCACAGAAACTGAGGTTATAACTCAGCACAAGTGCTATTTAATAAGTGCTTAGTCCCAGTGTTCAATCCCCAACACCGCAAAACAAAATGAGCATTTCATCCCAATTATCACTAAAGCACAGGCCTTGGAGTCTTTATAACTGCCATTCTCTCCTGAGATACTTACATCCTATTTTTTTTTTTTTTTTGGTTTTTCGAGACAGGGTTTCTCTGTATTGTTTTGGAGGCTCTCCTGGAACTCGCTTTGTAGATCAGGCTGGCCTCGAACTCACAAAGATCCACCTGCCTCTGCCTCCCGAGTGCTGGGATTAAAGGTGTGCGCCACCAACGCCCGGCTGATACTTACATCCTTAATACAGACGTGGCTTGCTTTCCCGATTCATCAATAGCTCTATTCCATTGTTCTTGTTCAAGAGTCCTGCCCTGGAGTGGCAAAGACAGCTCAGTGGATGGAGGTGACATACCTGATGACCTATGGACAATCCCTGGAACCCACACGGACAAAGAAGAGAATGACTCCCAAAATTTATCCTGCCTTCCACAAGCATCACAGACACACAGATAACATTTTAAGAGTCCTGTCCTGCTCTCCCTCCCTCCCTCCCTCTCTCTCTCTCTCTCTGTCTTTCTGTCTCTCTCTCTGTCTCTCTGTCTCTATGTATGTGTGTCTCCCTCCCTCTCTCCCTGATTTTTTGAAAGATTTATTATGTATACACTGTTCTGCCTCATTCCAGAAGAGAGCACAAAGATCTCATCATAGACGGTTGTGAGCCACCATGCGGATACTGGGAATTGAACTCAGGACCTCTGGAAGAACACTCAGTTCTCTTTACCTCTGAGCCATCTCTCCAGCCCCTCCCCATGATTTTTTTTGAGACAGGGTTTCTTTGTGTAGCTTTGGCTGTCCTAGAATTAGCTCTGTTTTGTAGACCAGGGTGGCCTCAAACTTAGAGAGATCTGCCTGCCTCTACCTCCAAGTGCTGGGATTAAAGTCATGTGCCAACAGCACTCGGCTCCATACTATTTTTTAAATTATTTATTTATTATGCATACAGTCTGTGTACATGCTTGTAACCCAGGAGAAGGCATCAGACCGTCTCATTATAGATGGTTGTGAGCCACCATGTGGTTGCTGGGAATTGAACTCAGGACCTGTGGAAGAACAGCCAGTGCTCTTAGCCTCTGAGCCATCTCTACAGCCCTCCATACTATTTTAAAAAACATTCTGAATGAAAACTAAATGTCAGCCCTGTAGAGCAGCCTTCTCTGTAGAGCTAGTTCCAGGACAGCCAAGGCTACACAGAGAAACGTTGTCTCAAAAAATCAAAATACATAAAGTTTTTAATTTTTAATAATAGCACTCATTCAGCTGTGGCTAATGTTCAAATAGGAGCATTGAATACAATGTTTAAATAACATTCACCCTTTAGGCTTAAGCATGTCACGTATGTTGTCATTCTCAAATCTCTTTCAGGTCCCCATCCAAGGTTACACAGACAGGAGACTTCAAGTCTGTCCACTGGGACAGATGGGAGTTGTACACAGCAAAGACATTGCCAGAATTATCTCTTTAAAGTGTACAAGAGGTGTTTTTTTTTTCAAATAGCTATTACCCAGACTCACCTTGCACACATGATATAGAATTATGCTTTTCTTTTTCCTTTTTTTTCCCCCTCCATACAGGGTTCTCTGTGTAGCTTTGGAGAGCATCCTGGAACTCACTCTGTAGACCAGGTTGGCCTCAAACTCACAGAGATATGCCTTGCTCTGCCTCCCGAGTGCTGGGATTAAAGGCGAGCGCCACCAACGCCTGGCTATGCTTTTCCTATTAAGAACACAGGGACTTAATGGCATATCAGGATTTAGTGGTAGTTGTGACTCACAGCTATTCCCCCCTAAAGCTGCCCTCCTAATGCTTTAATACAGTCTTGGTACCATGTGGGTATGTCAGCATATGGACAGACTGCTTGGAAAAGGATAGAAGAGCAGTGTCTGGGTTCCTTAGACCATGGGAAATACGTGTTTTCTGATAGTCATCCTGTGAAAGTGTCATTCAAGGGACCACCACCCACAGATTGAGAACCGCTGCTCACACACAGAAAAAAAAAAATAAGCCTTTAAAATGAGTCTGGGAAACCGGGCGGTGGTGACACATGCCTTAAATCCGAGCACTCGGGAGGCAGAGTCAGGCGGATCTCTGTGAGTTTGAGACCAATCTAGACTACAAGAGTTAGTTCCAGGACAGCCTCCAAAGCCACAGAGACACCCTGTCTCGAAAAAAGAACCCCCCCCAAAAAAGTCTGGGAAACCCGGCGGTGGTGGTGCATGCCTTAAATCCCAGCACTTGAGAGGCAGAGGCAGGTGGATCTCTGTGAGTTCCAGGCTCTGAGACAGCCAGGGCTACACAAAGAAACTTTGGAGAAACAAAAGTCTGGGAAATGCTATACAAACGAAGAAAAAAAGAGGTGGGGGAGGGGAGGATATAATTGTACATTGTACAATGTACCAGAGTACATTGGTGCTGGCTTGGAGTCTCGGCACTCTGCAGATACAAGCAGGAGGACCTGAAGTTCAAGGTCATCCTTGGTTGCACAGTAAT